GAGCTTACACATTCTGTCAGATAAAAAATTCTGGGTGTCCCAACTGCCTCTAGATACTGTGGCGAGTTAAGTCTGAGTTTTCTGATAGAATTTGGAAATTGATGCCGAAATTAAAATAATCTCAGAACAGAAAAGGAATGTGTGGTTTAGAGGGATAACATTTTGCAACTAAAACTGAGGAGAAAACTTCAGACAAGTAAGCACAGATTTTGCAGAGCTCTTCTATAAATTTTGGGGGGTTTTTTGATAGCTTTTTTTAACTTACGCTGACAATGTGTGTACAGTGCTGTGAGAAGGCTTAGGGAGTAGAACCTTCTTAAAAGTCCCTCAGAGAGGTTAGGGGTTCGTGACATTCTCCTGTGGTGTTTTCAGTGTCTCATTAAGAAGGAGCTGTGTCAGAGCAGTTACTTTAGCAGAGCTGCCTCCAAAGCGCTCGTTTTATTCTTAGCACCTTGTCGGCGTGACACCTCACAGACACGCAGAGTCAAGACGCACTTGCTGGGAACGTTCACCACAGCTAAGGCCAACGCAACAACAACAGGATGACTTTGCCCTAAACTCGGCTACCGCCAAAACCCTTCCGCAAGGACGAGCCTAAATGTGCCTTGCTGGGCTCCCTGGGACGCGCATCCCTGACTAACTCAGACAAACCGCGGTCACTCGGGGGGGGCTGCGAGGAGCACGGACACGGAGGGAGCCGGCGGGCCCAGGCGCGCTCCCCGCCCAGGCGCGCTCCCGGTCCCCGCGCGCTCCCGGCCCCCGCAGCCTCCGCAGGGCTGGCGCGGGGCCAGCGCGCGCCGCGCGGTGCCTTGGCGCCACCTACGGGCCGCGCGCGCGCGCGCTCCCGCGGCGCCCGCAAGAGGAGCGCCAGTAAAATGAATTAAGACAGCACCGCGTTTAAATCTTTATTAGCGAGGAGTTATTAGACCTAAGTAAGAGAAAAAAATAAAAAAAAGCAAACCAAAAAGCACACCTAATGCTGGATTTGGCTGAAATATGAGTCTCTCAGCTTCCTAATCCCTCTTCATATGGCGTGTTCCACAGTTTAAAATGAGATATGTCAGATCACTTATGCATTACTAAGATGAGAGAATATTTACAATGGGCTGACTTTTTTTTCTTTTTTTCCTGCATAATTCAGATGTATTCAGAGAATGCATTCCTTTCAAAAGTATGCTTTGGCAATTTTTTTTAAATATGCAGCAAACTGTCTATGCGATACCAACTTTCATCTGTTACAACAAAATCATGTTGAACTCAAACAAGAGGAAGACTTACATATGGCTTAGTTATATCCTACCAATAAACCATGTGCTTCACTGATGAGTAGCTTGGAAATTTGGCTGTCTTTGTTAGGGAAAAAAAAATTAACCCTTTTAGTAACACTAACTTAGCAAGGTTCCAAATCAGCTCGAACAGCAAAAGAAATTCAAGCCAACTCACTTTGAAATTTGAAACAATGTACATATCCCTTCAACCCTGAAACAGTCAAATTTCTGACTGAAATTTAGCACATACGGAAACAGTTCTTCAATAAGTTTTACAATTGGACAGTTAAATACTGGGGAGAAAAAAAAAAGTCTTTTTTTTTCAGTTTTGCTCATGCACATGTATGTGCACATGCATAGTCCTCTAACAACCAAAATTCTTCAAAACCCAAAGTATCAGAAGCATTTTGCAAACACATGTTTAAGCCCCAGGTAAATTATAAAAAGGTCAAGGTTTTTGTTTGTTTGTTCCTGTTTTTGGTGTTTGGTTTAGGTTTTTTTTTGTTCCCCCCATTATGTTAACTAAATTAAATTCGCATGAAACAAACAAAAAAAAAACAAACCCCACAACACAGTGGCACTTTTAATACTGGTTGATCGGGCACTTGTATGCAGTACTTATAGACCAGTAAAAGTGCTCGTTTACCTGTCTGGTGTGTAAGGGGCCCTTTGTCTTGAAGCCTCCTTGGGAACTGCACTCTGAGGCACTGAAGTGATCTGAACTAGTGGAAGAGCGTTTGGAAAGGGTGTCACAACCACCAACAAAGGTGTTGTCCAACGGGAGTTCCTGAATCACATGGTGCTTTTTCACTGAAACTGGAGTGTCAGGTTTGAGATGAAAAGCAGACTGCGGAGAGGCAGACTTGTAATGCTTGGCAAGGTCAGGACTGTTAGGCTTAAAGGTTGATGGTGGTGCTGTGCCCCAATCAAATCTTCCTATACTTTGCTCCTCCAGCTCTGCTGGAAGGCTTATTGTCCCGTTGATAGGTTCATGAACTGCATCATCAGGTTTGGACTCCTCAATGGTCACAAAGTTCAAAAGAGAGCTCTTTGGAGATTTCCTTTTCTTCCTTTTCTTTTTCTTGTTTTGCTTGTTTTCCTGATTGGGAGACATCCACTCAGCACCTTGCTTGCTCCTCTGGGCAGCCTTGAATCTGGATGCATGTCGACAGCGAACAAGAACCGTGACAAATATCACCACTATGACAACCATGGCACCTGCCACGATAGCGATCATGATTGTGAGATAGTCCTCATTTTGGTAGGGCTGGCTACTGTCCCCTATGTTCCGATCCAAAGGGGTTTCCATAGTCCTGCGTATCAAGTCATAAATGTAAGAGGCATTTCCAGCAGTATCATTTACATATAAAAATACAAGCACAAGAGTATGCAGGGATTTGGGATAACCCAAATCACTTATGTTGACAACTAAGCGATGCAGGCCCACGTCATTAGGAGTTGGTTTCTCTTCCAGAGTGATATTACCTGTCACTGGATCAATCCGAAACAAACCCTTGTTATTGCCGCTTACAATCGTGTACTTCAGCTCAGCGTTCATGCCAGTGTCTATATCCACAGCAAAGACTTCGGCTACCACCGATCCTGGAATTGCTGAGAGTGGCACCAGCTTAAAAGAAGTATTAGAAGGTGGGTAGATGACAACAGGACTGTTATCATTAACATCCATCACGTTTATTGTTACTTTTGCTGTAGAAGAGCGAGGTGGTTGCCCTCCATCCACTGCCTTCACATCAAAGGTGTAAGAGCTCTGCTGCTCTCGATCAAAAGAAACGTTGGACTTTATAACTCCAGAGTACGGATCCAGCACAAAGTTTTCGTTGTCATTCAGGATGGAAAGGGTCACTGCTTTATTTTCCCCAGCATCTGCATCAGTCACTGTAATCACCCCCACCGTGCTATACTTTGGTAAGTTCTCTGATACGAAAAACTGGAAATGATTATGAGTAAATTTGGGACTGTTGTCATTTTCATCCAACACAGTAACAATTACAGCCGCCTGACTCTGCAAAGGAGGGGTGCCGTTATCTCGGGCTGTAACAGTGAAAATGAAACGTTCCTGCTCTTCTCTGTCAAAAACTCTGGAGGCTGTCAAAACTCCTGTCTTTCGATCCAGATCAAAAAAGGAGGCATTAGGACCAAGCTGATAAACAATGTCTGCATTTTTCCCACTGTCTTCATCTGTGGCACTAATAGTTGTTAAGTATAGACCACGCCGGTTGTTTTCAGAAACTGACAGCTCAATTACAGGCTGGCTGAAAATCGGAGGGTTGTCATTTTCATCCTCCAGCTTAACTCTTACCAGGGCAGTCTGGTTCAAGCTGGGCTTGCCAGAATCAGAAGCCACAATTTTAAAGCTGAATTCTTTGGTGCCCTCATAGTCCAACAAGGAAGAGGTCTCTAACAAATACTGGTTGTCGTAAACTGCTTTCAAGTGGAAGGGGACCTCTCTCTCAATGAAACAGATCACTTTGCCATTCACATCAGTGTCCTTATCTGAAACCGTAATTAGGGCAATCTTTGTATTGATGGGATCTTTCTCAGATAAGTACACTGTGCCATTGATGGGACTTATTATGTACCTGAGGTCTATGTTAGGAGGGTTATCATTTACATCAGTGACGTTGATGGTGACAGTTGCCCGGGCTGGTGTAGAGCTACCATCACTAGCCAGCACTGTCACTTTGTGAATAGCAGTCTCTTCTCGATCTAAGGACCTCTGAACTGTAATCAGCCCTGTGGTGTTGTTTAAAGCAAAAAATCTTTTGGTTGCAGGGGCGACTTGGGCACCAAAAATATATCTGATTTCTGCATTGCTTCCTATATCAGCATCTGTAGCATGAAGCTGAATTACAGAGGTGCCTACAGGGGCATTCTCTGGTATATGGACCTCTACTTGACTCTCTTTAAAGACTGGCCTGTTATCATTGACATCACTTACTGTGACTTGCAGGATAGCTGTGCTGGATTTCTGGGGAGTACCTCCATCCTCCACTTTGATTTTCATCACGTAGGTGTCCTTTTGCTCTCTATCCAAGTTCTGCTGCACAATCAGCTGAGGCCATTTCTCCCCTTCTGGAGTTTCTACAATATCCAGTCCAAAGACACTCTGCCCATTTAACAACTCATAGTGCTGCACACCATTGAAACCTGTGTCAGGATCTGTTGCTGATGGGATTGGAAAGCGACTGTTGATCAGAGTGTTTTCTGGGATGGAGATATTGATGACAGGGGATGGAAACATAGGCGCATTGTCATTAGTATCCTTTACAATGATTTTTATTTTGATCAGCCTAAAAAAGTCATTGGGGAGAATCACCACTTCAAGTTCAAAGAAACACTCATTTTCTTCTGCATAGGAAGCTCCAGCACATAGTTTTTCTCTGTCTATTCTGTTAGATGTTGTAAAGATTTCCCCCGTGTTACTGGACACTTTGACCAGAGGTGCATCCCCTGCTTTAGACACCAGTCTGTAGACAAGGCTGGCACTGGTCCCTGTGGCAGCATTGATATGAGAAATGTTCAGGTCCTTTGGTATGTTCCCTATGGGCACGTTTTCAGGCAGCTCCTCTCTAATAGTGTAAATAAGTTCTTGAGCTATAGCAGAATCCAGCCTTAAACAGGCAATCAAAGCGGCCAACAGGTAAAAATCCCTCAGGTCCATGATAATGTTTTTATTCTCTTTCCACAGATTTTAGGACTTAAAGGTTTCCAGAGAGGAATGATGCGCGATTTGCAAGAGGAGGCATGCATGGACTGCAGGATGCATTACATCTCATTTCTTACTTGGAGACATCACTGTCAACACAACCACACAGAACAGCATTATTGTTTTTTTAGGCATGATAAATCCACAATCTCCAACTACTACTTGTTTTTGCAATGCATGCTTCCAGCAGTACATTCTCCTACTGCTCCCTTTTACAAGCAAGCCCTCCGGACAAATGCACCAATATCCCATCGGCTGCATTTGCTCAGAGCACGAATAAAAATAACTACTTGCAGGATTAAGAGCAGCTACTGTTTCCACACATACTTTCCGAATAATTTCTTGGTACACCGTGTAATCCCTAAAGTGCATTCCCCCTCTACCCTCCTCCACCCAGTCATTGGTACAAGTAAAAAACCTTCCCGGACTACTTCTAGATTCGAACTGCTATGCCAGCTGCCAAATGTAACTTGCTGTTTGCTTCCATATGTATTTTTTAGCTCTTGCTAACCAGATTCTTCTCTGCTCACTGTGCCCTGCATGCCCCTCTATAGCTATCGTACTGGGAAATAACCACCCGGACATGCTGCTGCTGCAGCAGTCGTCACTGGCTACTTCACATCCCTGTTAACTGATGAGACAATAACAGGACTTACAGTTTCTTACACTCTCAGCTCAATGTTTCTTCTCCAGATGCTGGATACTTCTCCTTCTGTTTAATAACCTAAAACTTTATTTTTTTTTTAAACACAGTCTAAATCAGGAGGCTGGAAATTCCAAATGTAACTTAGAAGCAGGAAGCATGTTTACAGATGGGGGGAATATACATTTTCTGATGACATGAGGAGGAAAAAAGGTGCAGCCTTTCCCCACTGACACTGGTCTCCCTTCAGGATGATATTAGCAGCTGCCACATATAAATACTGCAGACTAATAATGCAGGTGGAAGGGAAAAAAAAAAAAAAAAAGGAAAGCGACTGACAGACTTCTGTTTGCATGCACTGCTAACCGCACATTATAGGGTGCAAGGCTGCCAGCACCTACAGTTTGACGGAACTAGGCAGCCCCGAGCACTAATCTTATCTGCATTAAGCTGCACGGTAACTGATGCCCGTGATTACTTCCAGCACAGTAATGCAGGTAGGGATGCAGAGACAGCGAGTAGGTGAGCCTTTCCCACCAACACCAACAGAATCCCAAACACTGATTCTTTCCCTAGATAAATATACTGCGTGCTGGCTTTTTTTTTTTTTTTTTTTCTTTAAAGGAAATGCATCCCAGCTTAAGGGTAACTTTGCACTTACGTTAGTTGTTGTCTACCTTTGACGATCTGCTGCAGCTAAGCAATGATCTGTTCCAGCAGATACAGCACAATGCATCTGGTAAACCACCAGTTTTGGAGAAATCAGCAGCAGCCAAACGCTTCCTCCTCGAGATATGTGTTGCTTCGGGGTGGCAAATTATCAACTCCAGGGAACAAATTCACAGTTCTGTCGTTAGTCATCCTCTCCACGTTTCATTCCTGTGAAGCGGTGATCCTTTGGGTGCCTAAGGTGCACGCAACAACCCAAACAAATAGCAAGAGAAAAATCCGGTGCACTTCTGAGAGCGGGGGTATTTTCCACTCTGCACTGCACACCATTCCCGTCCCTCTCTCGGCAGAGCAGAGGCAGCTACATGAAGTCTACAACTTCTGACTGGAAATGGCAAGAGTTGGTCTGACGGTGCTTCTCCCTCTTTAGCTCTGGGGTGACAGTTGCCCAAAAAAAAAAAAAATCAAAAAAAAAAATAAAAAAAAGAAATCCTAATAGGTTATTGCTTTAGTGACGGGAGGAAGCGGCGGCGCTTTCCCTCCTCCCTCCCTCCTTCCCTCCCTCCTCCCTCCCAGCCTCTCTCCCTCGCATACGCTCTCTCCTTCTCCCTCTCTCTCTCTGAACTGAAATTCTTGATATAACTCTCAATAAGCCCAGAGGGAGGGTGGGAGCGGAGCGAAGCCACCCCTCCCGCCGCACCGCATTGGCCCGCGCCGGCGGGGGCGGCGGATGGCGGAGCGCGGCCGCGGCATTGGCCGCCGGGCACGTCGCTCCCCGGCCCGGCCGGGCGGAGGGGGCTGCGCGCCGCGCGGAGGGACCGCCGGGGTCGGGGGACGCGGCGGGAGCGGGAGCGGGAGCGGGAGGGGGAGCGGGGCGTTCCGCGGCAGGAGCGCGGCGGACACGGGCGGGCACTCCGCAGTCAGGGACGCGGAGGGGGCGGAAAGCAGCGCCGGGTTTGCGCGCGGCTGAGGGGTGATTTGGGAACAGGGGCTCGGGGTGCGTTTGGGCTGGCGGCGCGGTGCGGGGCTGTGCGGGGCGGGGGTGCCTCAGTGCGGGCTCGGTGTCGCTTGCGCGGGGCAGCGCGGCCGCCCGCGGTGCGGTGCGGAGCGGTGCGGGCCCGGCGCGGAGCGCAGCGCTGGCCGTGGGGCCGCCGCCCGGCGCCGCGCAGGTTCGGAGGCAATCGCCTGCCCCGGCCCGCCTTCGCCCGGTTCGGCCTTATATTTAATACATGCCCTTTCATCTATAATTCAGGCTGCTCTGACTCCAGCCCTGTCTCGGCTCCCATTTACGCCTGCACACCTTTCTCCTTCCCTTTCCCGAAGGGTCAGAGAGACACTCGCCAAGGGAGGGAGAGAGCTACTCTGCTGGTTTGGGTTTTGTCTGCTTAAACATTGAACTGGAAAAGATTCCTCCTCTCTGTGGTTTGATAAATAATAAAAGTGATCGTTTCGCCTTCCCCATAAATGACACAGGTAAATTATCCAGCTAACCACAAAGAAGCATCACATGCCTGGAAGACACTGTAATAAAATGCCAATGTATTATGATATGAGTGACCTCAAAAGTGTGACAAGAAGATGATTATAGTGCATTATCTATAGTGCATTATATGTAGTGCCTTTTTCAATGTTTTCTGAAGCATGAATGAACCTTTATTTGACTGTGCTTTTATTGCTGGTTTTCTCAGCTTGAACTTACAAGCTGTATGCTAGAACCTATCCAATTTAGTATGCCCAGGTACGTGGCCATGCAGGCTGCTGCTTCTGGTTAAGCCTTTCAAGTATATATGCATAGAAAAAAAAACAAAGATAACATCAGCATTTGACTTTTTCTGTATGTGGTACTATCTCATTTGCACATTTTCTGTGGATAGCATTGGTGAGCTAAAGATTCGATTTTTACCTTGAATATTTTACATTTTCAGATGCAGGCTCTTAGGCTCTCATATGTGTCTGCACATAGGATGCACTATTAACAAATGGTGGGAGCTGCTTGTACCTCTCAGAGGTCAGTAATTTGCATGTGTGCTACATACTGATAAATGTACATATCCTTGCAAGTCATATGGATGCAGACACTTTGTGACCATTGCACATCCTGTAATCCCATGGTGCGTAAAGATTAAACACTCTCAGTTTTGCTGTGCTTTGTAGTTGTGTCCAAAATACTCTTCTTACTGTTACACACAGAAAAAACATTGATCCCGGTTTTGATGGCATTGAGTAACATTAGAAAACGGAACTGGATCTAATAATAGTTTAAGAAAAATGTTCATTATGTAATACAAGAAGGATGGCTGGAGCCCCAGCATTGAAAGTCAAGCAAGTGACATGAAGGAGCAACCTTACTGCCAAACCACTTAGAAAAAGAATTCTGTGAATGAATTAAGTATGCAATTCTTTTGTCTTTTAAAATACAAAGCAGAACAGCCATTAATAAAGGAGATAATTAGAATTGCTAGCATTCTGTGTAATGCAGTCTGCTTCTGAAATACGGCATGTTTATGTATGCATTAATAATACACACATTTTTCCTGACACTAGTCATATCACAGCAGTATGGCATCACAGACGTTTTATAGCCTCATTCTAGTAACATCACAGGCATATAACATTCTTATTCTAATCACACCATAGTCATTTCAATGTCACATTGTAGTCACATCACATAGCCTGGTAATAATTATTTAACTTTATTGCTAAGCTGAATAGTTTTCTGTTTGCTCAGGGATGACTTAAACTTGTAGTCAGAACCGATTAGCACATGCTCATAAATGAGCTCTTCTCATGTACATAGGGTTAGACTTGTGAAAAGTTAGGAAGAGAAAAAAAGAAATTCAGTGAACTAGTGTCTGTTGGACTTAAACCCAATGCAATCACAAGTCACAATAATAGCACATTTTTGCTGTTTTCAGAAGTAATTCTAGAAAGCCAACAATGTTTACATGTAGATCTGTCATGTTAATGTTTATGTGCTTGCTTTAAAACGCTGTAGTACTTTAACTAATCATACATTATTAACCTCATGGAAAAGGCACGTCTTTAAACTATTGTATTTGCACACCAAATTGTAAAATTGAGGCCCAGAGTACCAAAGGGGTGAGAACTGTCACAACTGCTTCTAATAATGGTAGAAAAAGAACAGAAGGGGCTGAATTCCTGAGCAGGAGTTGGAATCACCCAGTGCAGCATTAACGCCACCCCTGCAATGTGAGGAACTGCTCTGAGCCGTGTCCTGTGCTCACTTGAGTAGCCTCTTGTTTACCCTCTGGTAGATGTTTATTCCATAGCCCTTACATTTGAGAAAATTGCAGTATTTGATGTCACATTCCCCTCAAATGCAGCTGTGGTGACATTATTTGTGCTGTTTCTTAATAATTGCCTTTCCTTACCGTTGTGGATTAGCCTTTTGTCTATGTACAAGAACACTGGGTTGGCAATCACATCACACCTTATTAAAATGATTTCTGTATTATAACTCACTAACTATTCATCCACATCATTGCTTGTTATCTTCGCCTCCATATTATTATGTATCCAATTCTTTTCCATATCATATTTGACTCAAATTCTAGCATGCTAGAAACTGACTCCAATTATTCTGTACTAGCTATAGTCAAATTGCACTAAATGGAATTGCTTACGTTGTATCACAGTGGCTACAGGCTCACACAATGCATTATACATGAAACTGATTCACATTATGCTTAGCTAACTAAAGACTTTAATCTTGAAGTGTTGAGCATAAAATGCTATCATTCTTCACTGAACTGGCTCTGGTCACTTGATCATTTTGTACCTGGGATTGCCTCTTACAGGCTGTTATTATTAAAGCAAAATGGCTTTTCCTCTCCTGCGGTTCTACCACTTTCTGTAGAGAGCTGATTCATATGCTAATGAATGAGCTTCCTTATTTCATGGCAGAGCACTGCAACACTGGAACCTGACCTATGGTGCACCTTTAGGATGTCCCCCTCAGTGCAGCGTAGTGAAAAAATGCATTATAAAAATCCACTTGTGTGTTCAGATAGCAGGTTATGTGCTAACTATTGAGCAATCCTTAATATTATCCCCAGAGGTCTTATTTCTGTATGTTGCTGAAGTCATTAGGAAACCCATCCTTGGTCCCATCTGCAATAGGAAGTATTCAAGGCCATATTGCCAGTTCTGCTGAGGTCTCTCAGGGTGTTTCTGATGTGGCTGTCCCTGGAAGGAGAAGAGATTAGGAGTTCAGTGGGGCAGGTAAAGCAGTGAAGACTCTCCCTGTTACAAATAGTTTTTAATCCATAAAGGAGTCCACCTCCACAGGGCTGACATTGTCACTGCTCTAAGTGGCACTGGCATTGCTGTATCCTTGATTTTGGCTCCTGCTGGGTTCAGTCTCATAGTAATCTCAGGAAATCCACTTTTTACAAGAAGCACTGGGCCAAAAAGTGATGCCTGTAATCTGCTGCACTCCTAACCACCAAAATGGTCAGGGTTTCTGTAAAGATGAGAGAGGAATGCTACGGAGTCAAGGGCAGCATATGGAGAGGATTGTGGAGACCATGTTTTCTTTATATCCTTACAAACATGTTTCTCCTTGCAAGCATGATGCTTTGGTCCAGACTTTGTACACCTAATGGTTTGTAATTCAGGAGCTTGCTTCAGAGGGACCTAGTCTTCTTGGGCAGAAGGATTGGACCTGTAGCCTTTATTTACATTAATGAAGTCAATAAAAGTGTTTTGGGTAATGTAAATCATATGTAACTACAGCATTTGAATAAGCCAGGTAATTGTATTATAAATACTATTTATTTAATATACTATTTTTTGCAATTTCAAAGTGTATTTAATTGTTTTTCAGAATGGTTGTGAGTGCTCTAGGAAAGGAAAAACACTTAAGTGAGCAGCTCAGGACTATATAATAATCTGTACTCTTAAATAAACAGCAGTAGCTAAGTCAGTTAATGATTAATAATTTAAGCCATTGAGCTGCTGAGATGGGGAAGAGTTGCAGAATTGGGACCTTTTAATGTGTCTTTCTTCAGGAAAATAAACTCAGTCCCTGGATAATCAAATCACAAAAGGGGCAGGTGATGACCTTCATTCCATTTGAATGGCAGAACTAAATTTAAGTGAATTTGCCATTTTTTTTTTGACTGACAAAGATTGCAAATGTCAGTTCATGGCTCTGAAGGGTCCAGAAGTGCACAAGCTGAAAGCTGGCATTTTGCAGTGCCAGTGTTTAATCCCTGTCACTGTACAATACAACAAAGTGCCCAACTCCCCTTAATTATTGCTGTTGATTTAAAGGTACAGATAAAAATGCATGCTTGAATTGTTTGCTTGAAAGTATGTGGGGCTTTTTCCTCCCTCACAAGGCTTAGTGTCTATTTACTATAACACTAACAATCTATTTGGATATTACTAAAGGAGAGTAATAAATGCTGTTTAAAATGCAATAATTGGACCACTTAGATGTAATTTCATGTGGCACAAAAAGAAAAA